ATGGTTTTTATTCTATTCTTCAAACCTAAGTAAAGAAGACGTTCCCTAGAATTTAACCTTCGCTTTAATATTTTACAGGTTGTGTAGAGGCCAGATGTCTTTGTGTGCGTTGACATCTCCTCTTTTCCTTTTTTTGTAGCATACTCCACGCCAGGCGCCACAGCTCCCAACAGGTTTGTCGGCATCGGATCACGGGACAACAACTTTCTGAACATCCCGCAGCAGACGCAGGTAAGAGTCTTAAGATCCGTTGCACAGATAGCTTGTCTCACTGAAAAGGGAGGGAAACTCGGTCTGTTTTGAATGCGATTACCAGCCAAACTCTGGGAACTTATTAACCTCCTGGACGTTTGCCAACATAGTCTTATTCCCTCGCTCCCTAAAAAACCTGCTGCTGGATTTTTTCCATTTTCTTCCCATCCCACGGCGAAGAAGAATCAGAGTGTGCATTTGTACATCTGTATTTTACAGTGCCTGTGTGGTTAACCATATGCGCTCGACTGTTTATTTGGCACATATGGGGCCTACCATCCAGGCAGCGAGTATTCCCCCTCATCACCTCTTTGATGCCATCTCACTGCATTCCCCTCACTCACCAGAATACCTTCTTTTCCTAACTTTTTCTCCTCCGTTAGCTTTCTGTTCCAACCCTACCTCGTTTTCTTTCCATCTTTGCCTCGTACTTTCTTCTTTTTTAACCTTCCCCGCTCCTTCCCATCAGCCCTCTGTGCCGTTTGTATTCCTCCTCCATTACCACAGCACTTTTCTCATTAGTGTCCAACCACACCCACCTGGAGCCAGCTTCACTCTGCTCCTCAACATATGGAAACCATCTGAAAATTTCCTGGCTGATCCCCTCCCTTGTTTCTGTGCCCTCTGTTCTCTTACTTTTTCTCCCTTTCCATTTCTCCCGATCCTGATCTTCTCTGCCCCTCCAATTAATTCAGTTTCCTTTCTTATCCTTCTCCCCACTCAAGCTGTTATCTCCCTTTTGCTTTGTTTCACTCACAATGGCATAATTCAGAATCTATTTATCATTTAGCTCTGTTGTACAACGCTTAACTCACAATTACGGCAAATCACTTATTTTCTAAAGACCAATCGCTGTTGCTTCATTAAGATTTTTCCTCTTGGATCTAAAGTGTTAAAAGTTTACTTCTTGCTCATTTAATGTGTCGTAGCATGCTTTTCTCTAACAGCTTGTTGCAGTCCAATAGAAAGAAAGAAAGACGTAGCATCTGAATAGCGTTGTTACCCTTTCAACACAGAAAGGGTAACAACATGTGTCTATTGGAATATGACATGAAAAGATTAATGACCTACCAAAAAAAAAAAGGATTGATTACTAGACAAAGAGCCTGTCAGAAGTATAAATGTGTTGACTGCGGGATATGATGACAACAGTAGAGTCTGTGTGCCCTCCAGTGGCGAACATCAGAAACTGCAGCGAGGGGGGGGAGAAAGGAAACAGGATACTAAGTAGGCAGGAAAAGAAGGGAGATGGAAGGAAAGGAGCAACAGAGAATCTACTCCTTATAAAAGTCACGGCCCAGCCGTCTCGTTACCCCCAGCAACCAGACATGATGTCATAGTTAGTTGATCTTGAATTTGAGAAGAGGTTGCTTGGGGGGGGACAGGAAAGAAAAGAGGGTGGTCACTGTCTGCTGCCAAGGATTTAGTGGGAGTGTTCACGGGAGATAGATGGATTGTATGTGTGTTTGTAAGAGCACACACAGAAAAAGAGAAAAAGAGAGAAGTAGAGTAACTAATAAGGGAGAAGTCACAATGCCCAGTGCCTGTTGGGACAGTGCCCAGGGGAGTTAGGGTAGCTGAGAAGTGCAGGAGGCAGGAGGGGGGTATTCATGGGACCTGTTAGAGTCAAAGAAAACAAAAGCCTGCCTCCCTAGAGGCTCAGAGCAGTTTCCAAGGCTTGACTTGCAGAATGTTGGCGCAGTAGTCCACTTCGCCAGATCCTGCAGGCCAAACAGGGCAGCCAACAACAACGATGGTGACCCATTTCTGCTCCCTGCTCATGCTGAGCCGGAGAAAACCCAACGCAAAGATGCTGCAAGTGACAGGGAGCGCCAGACTGCTACCCCCCTGCTGCTGCTTGGCCATTATTAGCCTTTCACCACTCGGCCATGTACAGTACTTGATTCCAGAAATGGACAGAATTGATAGTAATAGCTGGGCTGGTGGCCCAGACCCCTGTCATCACTCACTGTACGGGAACTTTGATGGCCAAAGTCAGTGGGCTGAATTGAGTGGTTAGTTAAGCAACTGGCATGGAATAGAATAGAATAGAATAGAATAGAACTGGACAGGACAGGACAGAATATGATAGAATGGATAGAATAGAATTTAGTGGATAAATAGAAATAGAGTAGGTATAATAGAAAATAATAGATTGGGGAAAATAGTATAGAATAGAACAGAATTGGACAGGACAGAATACAGTAAGATAGAATAGAATACAGTAGATTGGATAGAATAGAATTAAGTGGATAAAGTAGAATAAAATAGTTAGGACAGGATAGAATAGATTGTGTGAAATAGAGTAGAATAGAATAAAGTGGATAACATAGAATATAACGGAATAGAACAGAACAGAATTGAACAGGACAGAATACAGTAAGATAGAATAGAATACAGTAGAATGGATAGAATAGAACTAAGTGGATGAAATAGAATAGAATAGATAGGATAGAATAGAAAAGATTGTGTAAAATAGAGTAGAATAGAATAGAACAGAATTGGACAGTACAGAATAGAATAGAATGGATAGAATAGAATAGATAGGATAGGATAGAGTAGAGTAGGTGTATTTCTCTTTAGCCACATTGTTGTTCTTGATCAAGACTGAAACATCTCAGCACCAATGTGATGTTACTATAGAGGCTTGAGTGTTTGAGAGGAGAGAAATGGCTGTTTTTGATTTGAAATGGCCAATAAGAGAGTGAAGTGAACACGTCAGACTGATCAGGTGAATCTCTAAAGTGGATTTTCTTTGGCACAAGGTCATCTTTTTTACTTATGATTAAACATTTCTCCCTTTCAAGTCCATACAACCTCTGGAACCTGCATGTATAACCTGAACTAAATTCTCAGGATGCAGACAATGTATAACTGTATATATAAGCCCACTATTGCAGATTCCTCAATATATTCTTTTTGTGTGTAACTGTTTACAAAATCCCTGCTGCTCCATGAAGTACAACCTCGAGACTCTTGCAGCCTACATACCTTAAGTGCTGGATTTTGATGTAGATTTGCGGCCAAGCCTCTTTCCCTATTTTGTGTTTATTTTTCAATGCTTTATGTCTCATTGCTTTGCTGAGATTTTGGCCACCCGCGTTTGACCACCGCAAGTTCCCTCCCTATTTCACAACAGCCGTGTTACGGCATCCTCAGCCAAAATGATTGTGTTGAGTTTAATGACACGAAAACAACCTCAAGCCTTTCCCCCCCTGGATGCTGGAGTTTTGAGTGGCTTCATAAGACTGATTCGACCACATTCTTGGTGTTTTTCTCTGTGTACACATTCACTACATTTCACACTAACTCAGTCTCATCTGTCCCTCCCAACCCCTCTTTCCCTTTATTTCTCTTTCAGTCTTGGTTCCTCTGACAAGATCTGTGTACAAACCAGCAACTAGAATACTTTTACAATCGGAAATAGAAACAGAGAAATAGAGAAACAGCCCGCAGGATGAAAACTGTCCTCAAACAAACCCACCGACCGGCCCTGACAGAACGTCTCACCTGACACAAAAAATAACCAAGCTACGCAGGAAATTCTGGCAGCATTATGCTTATAGAGGAACTCTGGACTCATATACCCAGTCAGAGGGAGGACCCATTTGGAGCAAAGATGGAGGGATGGGAAGATGAATGATGGACAAGAGGATGCCAGGATGAAGAAGGGGTGAGGGGACAAATGGCAGCGAGCAGGCATCTCTCCTGAAACCAGCACAACCCGGCGGTCACACAGGAGGAACCTGAGGAGAGGAGAAAGTGGTCAACTTCTACTACATTGTAAGGACATGTTGTGTAAGAAATGGCTAAGAAAATCAAGTGTCCAACCAAAAAAAAAAATGATAACAAAACACAGATTTAACATTTTTGCTCCAAAGCTTCACCAATAACAACAAATCCACAGCCAGATCAAAGCAAAGGCACAATTTGGTTTCCAATGAAAACTGCAGTCCATGCTCCTGTGATGTCCGTCATCACCAAAAGAAATCTGATTGACCATTGTTTCTGTCCCTCTGAGTGACTCCTTAGAGTCCCCCTTTTTCCTACTACTAACTACAGATACCATGCCAAAACTTATCTTGATAAAAGGTTGCACTAGAAGCTGAATCAATTAACACTAATCGAAACGATGTGCACTATTTACCTACAAGGCATGGGAGGTAAACCACACTTGTCTATCAAGAGTTTTAAAGAGGAAACACAAGGTACTCGAAGCCCCTGTGTGTCCTCAACCCCCTTTTTTCACTTTGACAATTCATCGGCCTCTACTTACTCTCACACACACACACACACACTCACATGACTCACACACAAAAAGATGACGTAACCTGTGCCATGACCACCGCAAGTGGTAACACACACGATTTTGCAGTCAGACCTTTTTAGATTGTAGTTTTCATAAGTGGTGGTGTTGTGTTGTTTTCACATGCACACAGTAAGCCCAGTGAACTCTTTCTACCTATTTGAAATAGACATCCAAACATCACTAATGATCCCACACTGAAAACCCCAGTGTGAGCACATGATTACTGACATTTTTCCAAAACTAGAGACAGCAGCTACTGGTTCCCCCCTTTTGCCCTCTTGTAATTTAGCTGAATGATTTTGTTATCTCTTGTGTGTTCTCTTATTTGAATTTATTCCTTTTGGATTTGTACTATTTTGTAATTGTTTTGTATTTGAATGACAGCACCTTAAAGAGAAACACAGTGGGAGGTGGGACGTCGGAGCAGCGTAGACAGGGTGGTTAGCTGACCTTGATCCAGTAGTACATGCAGTACCTTAAAAGAGAAAGAGAGGCGTTTTGGGAAATAGGTTCTGTCTGTTTCTCAGAGCTAGATAAGAAGATTGGCACCTTTCATATGTCTGTACATTCAGTAGCTTAGCTTAGCTTTGCATTTGGACAGCTATCCTGGTACAGAGGCGGCGAAAGCATCAAACTTGGCCCTCTGCAGCTATTGTGATTATCGTGTAATAGCTCCTTACAAGCAGAGAATATTTTAGCCTTCGACCAGCTGGTTGGCAGATTTCTCTTTTTATCTTTGGACACTCATGATTCAAATCTCCAGCATTCCTCCAAAGCTAAGCTTAGTATTCAGCATTAATAACACGAGAGGGATATCAATCTTCTTGTCCGACTCTCGAGTAGACAGCAACTTTGTATATTTCTCAAAAGGTCTAACTTGGTCGTCGTTTGTTTGTCCCCAGTGCCAGATAAACCGTACATCAAGACCACATTATGAAGGGTTAGACAATCACAGGAAGTTTATTTTCTGAGCACTTACTTGACGAAAAAAAAAAAAAAAAAAAAGCTTGCCACATCTGCTTTTTTTGCACCGTGGTACAGCTGGTGACTGGCGGTGGTGATTTACGAGCGATAAAGAAACAGAAGTGAGGCGAGAAGGTTGCTGAGGATGGGACCCAGAGTAAAAGAGAGAGTTAGCTCTTCTTTCTGTCTCCCTAAAGTTTACCCTGTTGTTTACACTCCCAGACGGGCCACTGCTCCAAGAGCAGAGGAGGCCACACTGTGGAGCAAAATGAATATGTGACATATCTGGCTGTTTTTTCTGAGAGAAAGTGAGGGCCTCTAAACTAGTAGACTAGGAGGATTGCCCATGTGCCCTGTTTTGTCTTGGTGCACAGGTTTGAGTCAAGGATATCAGTTGTTATGGTTGAAAACCCACCCCCAAACACACACACACACACACATGCAAAACACACACACACACACACTCACCAGCACTTCTTTTTTTGTGAGTTGATAAGCCCTTAATGATCAAAACTGCACTAAAACAATCATGCCAGCCAACTTGTGAGTTTTTTTAACAAATCAGTAGATGGACCACCAAGACGTGTTTCAGACGAATGGATCTGAACGCATTTGTAATAGAGCACAGATCACCACTGCGTAGACACACCGGCTTATGAAAACACGCCCCCTGTGCCCACTGATATCAAAGGGAAGTCTTAACAAGAGACAATCTGAGGAGGCCTTTTAATGCTTTCAATCATGTTTAGATCACTGGCCCATACATCTTCAGATCGATTTAGTTATCTCCTGTCAAAATTTTCAACCACTCACCCAACCTCACAAAATAACTGGACTGCCTGGCCACGTTCTTCACTGCAGGGAAACACAACATAGTTGGCCAACCGACTGGCGACCATCTCATCAGCTTTGTAGGTTAAGACGTTACCAACGGCTAAGATGATTTCTTTTCTAATCTATGGAAGTGCCTCTGTATTCCCATTATGCAATTTGTCAAACATGAATTCAGGTTCTTTTTTCTCACATATAAGCTATAATGAATGGTGAAAAATTTATGTCAGGAGAGGTAAAAAAGGTGACAGCTCACTAGATAACCGCAAGCATCTTTATATATAATACACATATATATTTATAGATATATACTTTTTTTTGCAAGATAAGCTCTGTGGCAGTCTAGTTATTTTTTGAAGCATGGCGTACATCGCACAGTCAAAGGATGCATCTCAAAAACAGCTGATAAGAGCTCAAGTACCAGCCTCTAAATCCACACTCGCATTAGACAACAAAAGAGAGAAAAAATCAACGGCGAACAAAACAACAGAAGCGTCAAAATAGACAGTGATGATAATCTAGCTGAGGTTTTCAAATGAAAAAATTGGTTTTGTTGTTTTCTTTCTTCTTTTGATGGGAAGTATTGTTCTTGAAACTAAATGATGTATGTTGATTGAGCCATGTGCAATGCCTTGGTAGAGGAATTGTGTTTGTTTCTTAGCAATTGTTTGAGGGTGTCACAAGAAAAGAGGGAAAAACCCCTCGACGTTTTTTTGTTGTTTTTAAGTCCACATGCTCTGGGACTCTAAATATGAGTGCAGCAAGTAAAAATAATCCCAGTCTTTGTAAGTAAGTTTGGGGAAATTGTTTTTATTCTTTTTTCTTTTTTGTGACTTTTTTTAAGAAAAAAAAACTTCATTTCTATTGAATTTGTTTTCAGAATGTGGGAGGGCTGAAGGAACAATTTTGCAACTCTTAAAATATATATCACTATGAAAACTGGTGCTTTCATAAAGAATAAAGTACATTCAATCTCTATTATACATAAATAATGATAAACAAAATGTATAAATCTGACAAAATGCTAACATAAAAAGCAAATTTTAGGAAACATGCATTATTCTATTTCTCATTTTTGTATTTAGCGAGGGGGGAGGGGTTCATTGTATAAAAAGGTTGTTGTGACAAAAGGCATTTCCCCCCCCCAACCTTTACACCATAGCAGAACAGTCATAGGGACGAAAACCTAAAACATGTTTTCTCAGACCGTATCAAAGTGTATCCAACATAGATGATCCTGATGAGGGACAAAGACAAGATCTTCCCCAGTTTGGGAGATGCAAAAGTACAGATCCCCGTAGAGCGAGAAATGAGACTGTAACCGAGCGAAGATGTCAGGGGAAAGTTTGGATTCAGTGAAAATCAATGAGAGGCCTCTCTCTGGTCTGCTGTCATCAATTCAAGTGAACCCATCCCCTCTCTCTCCCCCCTCTTCCTCCTTCCCCCTTAAATCCCCCCACCTCCCACTGTAAATGATTATAAATATTTGTTTGGTGATGTAGTGTTTTAGACTCAGAGCATCTTAAAGGTTGTCCCTAAAAAGTGCCTTTTGTTCACAAATTCCATCTTGTAATCCTGAGTGCCCATCTCGAAAGAAAAAAAATCCCCCCCTTCATACTTCTATATCTTTCTCTTCCTCTTCTCTGAGCTTTTTAAAGCAGTATACATAGTACTAAAGAACATCGGTGTGATTTAGTTCCTCTTTTTATTGTTGAGTAATTAAGAAAAGAAAAAAAAAAACAAAAAAAAAGCCCAAAAAAATTCTGTCTTGCTTCTCTTCCTCTGTATCTTGTCTTCTGTCTTTCTTGGACACTGGAGTAGTCTGTAGCCGCGTAACCCTCTCTCCTTTTTTCTCCCCCCTCCTTTCTCCCTCTATCTGAATGGCGGGGTTTTAAAAAAAAAAAAAAAAGAAAGGAAAAAAAAATACGCTAAAATTTTTTTTGTCTGAGCAGAATGCAGTTAGCTCACATGTTATTCTTGTCTGTAAGCTTCACATTGTATCACCATACCCATCTTCTTCAGCTTCTCCATTCAACAGCTAATGTAAGTGAACAAGTTACACCACGGGGCTCTGGGCTGTGCTGAGGACACGGAGGCTGGCTCAGGAAAAACAAAGAAACTAGTTTCTTTCCAGATAAAAGGGAGAAAAGCGCTTACAGGAAAACTGGGCTTTGGACTCTGGAGAGGGGAGATGACCAGTAGGACTGCTAGTGTAGGCAGGTTTGTTTGTAATCCTTGTTTTTATCTATTTATTTTTTATGATTGAATTTGGATTTGCTTTTGAATTCTTTTTATCTTGGTCATTGTTACTGCGTATCTTAAGCAGCGGGGAAGATGCTGCGATGAGATGTTCAATTATGCACCTTTCTAGTGGTTGAATGAGACCAGCTGTTTAAAAAAATAAAAAAAATAAAAAAAAAAACAACTGAAAATGACTCAAGCACCTTAGAAGCGGACTGGTTGCCCGCCTGGGAGACTGAAAGGCTCGGATTTAGCACAATCATAGAGAGATGTTAGTGTTCAAAAGATACTTTGACCAAAGTGGTGTGGTTCCCAAAGCTGTTCCAAAATCTTTGGTGATGAAAAGAGATAACACCGGAAAAATTCCACCAGCAACTCCGCCTAATTCTTCATTTTTGACCTTATAAAATTCACGTGTATCTTTAATTTTCTTCATCAAGTCAGTGAAGCCAGCAGCAGTATTACTCATCCAACCTTGACAAGTGAAAGCACCACAGATGAGAAGCCATATCATAGATGAGCAGGTTGCACGGAGCAGACTGTGTATGCGTGAGTGTGCGTGTGTGTGTTTTGTTTAGGGAAGGTGTCTCCAGTATCTGCCCCTGCACCGTTCAGAGAGCCCAGTCGCACCCTGTGGCAAAATCGTCCACTTTTTTTTTCTTCTTCTCTGTAGTTTCTTGTTAACAAGTGTAGGGAAGCTGGGTTGTGTTAAGTGATGCTTAGGCTGAGCCCCGTGGTCAGCTGACCTCACCTCAGTCCTTTGACTCCTCCTGCCACGACTGCTCTTCCTCCTCTTCATCCTTTTCGTCCCTCGGAGCAGCGTCCAATCCTCAGACGCACTCCCCAGAGCCCGTGGTGAAATGCATGTGTTAATTACAGTTTCTTTTCCATAATAATAATAAAAAACAGTTTGAAAAGAGCAACCCCTTTACTTGATTGAATAAAAGGATGTTCTTGACTGTATCACGTCTCTTTACTGTGATTATTACTATCAATACACAGAGTAAGGTACACGCAAGCAAGAGTCCTCTTTCATTCTGCAGCAAATTTCATATTGTGATACCAGACACATCAAAAATGTTTTACTGTTAAATATGATTAAATATGAAAATATCAGCAGTCATGGTCTGGTTGTTTCCAGAAGTTGAATGTCTTTTTTTGCTGTCAAGTATCAGGTAAGAAATCAGTTTTTCTAAAAAGTAATCTTGAAGCTTAAAGTTGTTTAATATGGAACTACATACTTCATACTTTGTCCACAGGGGGGCCCAAAAGTCCCAAAATACAGATCTCACAGTCGACGTTAATGAGTGTTTGTTCCAGCAATCCAACTTGAATCCATCTGATGGGTGGGGCCATTATTCCAGTTCTTTTTGAAGGTATAAAAAAGCTGAAACTGGAGGTTTTCAAAGGTATTTTGTTTCAATAAATCAAAATCTGGACTAGATCCAGTCTACTTTGTAATCTTTTTACTCTAAGGCAATCTGTTTTCAACATCTTATGTGTGTGAGTGACAAGATCACTCTCAAATAATCAAACTGTGCTCTGACCAGCCACATTTACAGCATCCATGATTTCCAAACAGACTGTCAAATTTGGTTTATCAGACCACAGGTGAGTTTTCTACTTACCTTTAGTTCATCTTAAAGAGACTCGGGCCCAGAAAAGTTGCTGACACTTCTGGATCATGATTTTATATGGTGTCCTCTATGCATGGAACTGTTTAAAACCAGGAGTGTTTTTGAGTCAGTGCAGTGGTTTCCACAACAGAGTTATGTTTTGTTGAAATAAGTTTGTCCCTTGTGCGCTGAGATTTCTTCAGGTTCTCTGGACTTTTCATTATGTTATGTACCATAGAAAGTAAAAGGTTGCTCTCAGAGGCATGAACGACGAAAATACAACCAGGTGAGAAACTTTACGGATGATGCTGTCGTGTTAGCTTTCTGAACTGAGAAATCCCCAAAATATCTGATATGTTAAAGTGGGGAAAAATCCCAACAGTGAGTGCATCTCAGTGATCATTAACAATAAACCATAAGTAGAAGTGACGGTATCTACACCATTAAAAGCTGATATTGCCACAAGAGTGTAGATTGGAGGGAGTTTAAATTTGTCTGGGGTATCAAGTATTGGGGTCAGGGTAAAAATCACTGACCAGGACTATTTTGAGTCAATTAGTACGAAAAAAAAATAGAAAAATGTCCAAAAATTTTAGATGTTTAAGTGTTACGTTGGGGTAACCTTGGGGTAACATTGGGGTTAGGGTTCAAATTACTGTCCATGACCTTTTTAGGAGAATGTTTCAGACCATTTGGAGTCAATTGGTACAAAAAAAAATTAGGAAAAATGCCAAAAAAAATGTTAAGTGTTAGGGTTTCGTTGGGGTATGTACAAAGATATGTTTTAAGATTTGTTAGCAGAAATAAGCCTTCATGTCTCAGCCCTATTTTGACTAATTTTACAGTACCATACAGTTCTAATGAATTAGTTCTTTCTTGGAATCAAAAGAATGGTTATGAACCACAGAAACTACCAACACAAGGCAACACAATATGAAAAAGGAGACATATGTGATAACTCAAGGGAAAATGTACTTATTTTTAAAAACAAATGTGCTGGTAACCAATCACTTTAATATATAATTGTACTTGTAATCACTTATCTATCATACACATATGCTCATTGCAATATTAGATGAACAAAGCCTGTATCAGGCACCAGTATTCCTGGTCTAGAAGGAATACAAAGGAGTGATGGTCATTTTAAGGACCCATAAAAAATCAGCTGAGAAACCTTTTGTTAGAATTTTTTGGGGGTCAAGTCATATTGTGCCTGACTTCTATGTCTTAGATTAGCTGTATAAAAAGCAGGATAATGTACTTTATACTGAGTGGGTAAATATCAGAATTTTTTGCTCTTCATATTTAAGCCTAGATTTAATCTGGTTCATGCCATAAAAACGTTTTTCTATGATTCATATGTACAGGATGAGACTAAAGCCATTTTTTCTTTAACAGTTTTTGTTTATGGAGAGCCTTTGCAGTCAAAAACATTTGCAACACATCCCCACCACGCATAACACAACCAGGCCAGCAATTGTAACAACAAGCTTCGTAATACCATAATCTGTAGAGGACAAAAGGCCCAATCTGGACATACAGTGTGATGCTAACAGATCAGATTTGCTCCTCGCAGAAGTTCTTCTCATTAGCCTCTTGGTGCGTAACTGAGCCTCAAATGTGCATAATGAAGCCTGTACATTCCCCTGGATTCAATGTTTCTATGCAAACTAAAGGTACAAAACACTGATGTTACAGATGCGGTGATTATTCAAACAAGGGGGGCAAAATTTCAAAACAAGTAAAAAACTATTTGGCTGACCTTTAATAGTCCCAGGACGTGCCAAGAATGGACTCCATTGTGAACGGTTTATATGCGTTATTATTCAGTGTTCAAATGATTGACATTTTAACAACTGTAGATGTTTTTATATGAAAGTACATGACTGATGCCTACTATGTGTAATCCTACACAACCTCCTTCCCTAGAGCAAATACTGAAGAGGAAAAACACAAAATGCTAACAGCTCAGCCATAATGTATTTTTCATTTGAGTTGTTTTTTTGTAGTCCAGTTTCATTTTTTCCTTTGGGGTTTTCTGCCTCTTTAAAGTCATTTTGTCTCTTCGATCTCTTTTTGAGTCTTTATAGTCTACTCTTCTGCATCTTTAAAGTCATATTATCCTTTTATAGTCTATTCTCCTGCCTCTTTAAGTTGTTTTGTCTCTTTGTGGTCTTTTTGAAAAAGTTTGGTATGCAAAAAGTTGTATTTTGTAGTAGTGCAGTTGTAGGTTGGTCTCTGTTGTACTTGACTTTTCCTTGAGATCAGATAAAGCTGTTGTGTGAATATCCTATTATGGATATATGTTTAAAATGAATTATCGAGGAAAACATATTTGTATTAATATGACTTTATCAATTTATCCCATCCTATCTGATGATAATTCTTACCCTCACTAACTAGAGAATACATTTTAAGGATGGTTTAGACCCCAACAAGCTGCACATTAAATATGAAAATATGAAAAACCAGGTACTCACAGAGCGTGGTTATTCACCTCTTTTACATAAGGAGTTTACTGAAAAATATTGCCCGTCGCATACCGTGGCTCAAAGCTGTGCAAACTGGAGAGAAAAATGCAGTGAACAATGTCTTAATCAATAAGTCCTTCTTTTGGTAGAATGGGTGTCAAGATCATTTGCCATATATACTAACTGATTGATAGCGGAGAACTGCTTTATAGATTTTAAAATGTATTCAAGGATGGGATACCTTAGTAAAACATCAGATTCTCAGGAAACCTAGTGTTTAAGTTGTACAGTAGTTTTTTTATGGGTAGTGTTAATTAGCACTATAGGCTATTAGCATACACAAAATAGTCCCATATCTCGGCGACCTTGACAAGGAGGCACAGAAATTTGATTAGCTGCAATCTGTGCAGCCACCATGGAGGAGCAGGTGAGTGTGTTACAAAGTAAAAAAAATAATCAAACACTGAACCGTCAGTTTAGTTCCCTCTGTTTCCCAAAACAGACTGATAACACCCAGCAACATAATGTCAGACACATAAAAAGGGGGGGCAGCACAGTCCAAACTATATCTGCCAGTTTCATTCTTGGACGTACGTACATGAGGCTAACGAAGGTACATACAAGCAGTTACACACACTGAATGTTGTCGCAGTGCAGTGAGAGGACAATGTGCTTCCATACAATCCAGCTACAGCATTAACAAACTTAGAGAATGCAAATTGATTACTTTTTCAACTTTGCGCTTTCACATCCATCTGCACAGGCACACAGACATGTACTCACACACGCGCACGCAGACACAAGCACTCACACCGGTCGCAAACCCATCACCCCCCCACCCACCCGCCTGCATCCCCTCCCTAATGTTCACAAAGCGCATCTAAAATCAAAGTACAGATCTCCCGAAAGACAAACCCCACACATTCCATTGGAATTCACGTGGATTTTATCATACTTCTGCACTCCTAACCCACCCACATCTTCCTGCACACAACCTTTGTGTACTTGTAGCCCCCCCCCCCCCGCCGTAACCTAACCCACCCAGTCTCTTCTGCCCCATCCCACCCTAACCCACCCACCCGCACCCCCCTGCTGGCTCTCCCTTCTCCTCCCCTCTTGTTGGGTAGAGCTGAGGTTGGTGGCTGTACAGTAATTTGAGGGTGCAGTCTTTATGCTGAGCTGTAGAGGGGAGGTGTAGGAGGGAGGAGCAGGAAGGTAGTGATCTCTGCTGCTCAGTCATCATCCTGTCCTTGGTTGAGGAGAAAGTTTGCTGCCAGGTTCTCGTTCTTCTCGCAGGCAAAGTAAGCCTGGATCACCAGAGCCTCAGGAAAACCCAAGGCTTTTAACTAAACAGAGAGAGAGAGAGAGAGAGAGGGGGGAGATTGACCAGAAACTCTTAAAACAAAGAAACCCTAAATTTTAGATTTGTGATCTTAAAAAAAATTATATTATATTATATTATATTTGTTTTTTTTCTTTTCCTTCATGTCTTACTAACCCTTTCAATGGCTTCCTTCTCCTGTGGTGTAACCTGGATATAGTTGACAGGTGCGCCCTCCTCTCCCGCTGCCCCCATCTCTCCAGCCTCTGGTGCATCTCCACCCTCACCCACTGGTTCATTCAACATCTGGATGAACAGCTCCTGATGCTGGCTGATTTGCTATAGAGGGGAAGAAAAGGAGGGATTCGATTTTTTTAAGACACCTGAATAAATATGCAAAGATATGATTGTTGATTTTAAAACCATGTTAGTTGTTAAAAAGAGCTAAGCTTTCACCCAAGATCTTCAGTTGTTACCTGTAGAAGTTGAGGATTCTCCCGACCGAGCTGCTGGAGCAGAGCTGGAAGCAGAGCTGGGTTCTGCTGGATGGCCTGTCTCATGTCCAAAAACTGAGGCTGGGTTCGCAGGAATGCAAGTGGGTTCTCTCCTGCTGACACATGATGTAAGTTAACATTTGCAAAAGAATATAACCATATTTTTGGTTTGCATTATGAAGCAACCTCTCAAAAAAAAAGTGCCAGCAAACTCAAAGCCTCCGCGCCCACTCCTCAAATCTTCTGAATTTAAAAATAGAAGTGAAAAACAGAGATCCCCACACTCTCAGTCTTCTCAAGAACGCCAGCCTTTCTTGTAATGTAGGGATGTTAGGGCTGGCATGTTAAAAATCAGATACGAAATCCTGTTCATAGATTGTATTAAGATTAACACATACGAATATATATCATGTTGGCATCTAAGAGATACGAAACCTTACAGCTGTTCTCAGATCCTCACACTGTCACAGCAGCTGAAGACTGTCTCGTTCTGAGGAGCTGCTCTGCCTCAAACCCTGTAAAAATCTACTGTCTATCTCAGCGTGCCTTTCCCACGTCGCTCCTCACTCTCTGTCCTCACTTCCTGCTCTGTTCACTGCCCTGTCCTCTCGAAATAAAGCCCAAAATTAAACATCTTAAAAATCATCTATAATCACAGAGTATTCACTGTTCATGTGGATGCATGAAACAACTCGTATGATATAACATCTAACTCGTGTAAGAGCAGTTGGATTTTCCCCAAACACCGCAGTTTTCCTCCTAACCCTTTACAAACACTTTTTCACGACCCTGAGGCGTTTTCGATCAGGGTTGATGAAAAGTGAATAAGAAAAGACTTTTGGACTGTCAGATACGTGGACTTTAGAAGCTGGGGATCAAACCGTTTTCAGATAGTTTCAGATAGTTCCTCACACTCTTAAATGATCAGTTACTGTAGCCTGGTACAAAAACATTTGGCGAATGCTGAGTCATATTATGAGTCACTGCCTGCTGATGAAGTTTCCCCCAGTTATCGAGCCTTTTATTCAGTGAGTGAGTATTGGCCCGGTTGCGGTCGCACATGGAAATGAGCCAGAACAGGTTTCTCAAAGTGAACTTGAAGGAAAGTTTACAGAGTTCAGGGTATTTACTCTGATGCATGGATACTAGATGAGACTGCAAGTCTACATCGGGAGCTTTTTGTGGTTTGTGTTAAAAAATGCAAAACATTTCCTGGGCAGTTTTACTACATCTCAGCAGCTCGACTTATTATTTTCACACAGTATGAGTCGACAGAAATGTTCGCATCGCTCTGTATGCTTTACCCTCTGCTAGAGATGGTGCTTCTGTAGGTCCAGATGTGGGGGCTTGCACAGGGGGGTTACTCTCCTGGACTGGGCTGCTGGGAATACCCTGGAAACACAACAATATGAGTGTCAATCACATGCATGAAGAGTTCCTGATAAAGAATCATGGATATCGCAAAAGAGTGTAAGACCTTTATTTTTAAAATGACTCAATAAAATCACTTTGGTTCTCTGCTGCTGCTGCGGAGTAAAGTTACAGAAAGTCCTTTATGCTTATATTCAGTTACATACCATTCAAGGATGGTCTTGATTATACTTTGAGGGGATTCGGGTCTATTGAAGGTACTGTGACTGATGGTTTCTCTATAGCTGTGAGGGGGGGTAGGTGTCAGACCAGATTGACAGCAGGCTTTAATTTAGTTTTTACACTCACAACAATTGTGACAATTTACTGTTAAAAGAAAACAGGATGATGGTTTTGTCTCAAGAGACTACTTTCACATGTATAGACGGGTTTCTGTGCAACGCCATCGCAGGTATGCGCGCAGCTATGGGGCAGAAAGCCGAACATTTCTTATTTGTTTACAAGCGGAGTCAAAGGAGACAGAAAATGACAAGGAGCTGTTGTGCTGTAAACTGAACGAATCGGCAAAACAAACAATCGGCAAACATTACGACCTTGCTCCTGATATAAGAAACATCTAAAACAACGTCACAGGCTGGTAAATTGAGTGAAATTCATGGACATTTCAGCATGTTTTTCTGATTTTGATGCAATGAAAGACAAAGCAATTTTTCAATAAAATGATATTTTATTGCTATTGTGTCAGGGAGAACTTGCAAACAATACGGCATCTTCATTGATATCAGTTCACTCCTAAGCAGGCTTTTGTGCCATTGTTGCACGCACACCTAGTATTGTTTGTACACAAGAAACCTGTCTTTGAAACCAGAGATAAGAGTTGTCCCTTTGTCCACAGGGGGCGCCAGAACCAACACAAACCAGGAGTTTTTCACAGTGCAGCAGTTTGTGGTGCCATACTTAAAAGAAAATGCCTTGCACTATCCTAAACTGTTGGCAATGAAATTATTAAGAGGATAGACTGAAAAAGACATTAACAAATGAGGAACAAAGTTACTGGACATGAGGGAAGGTTTAATTATGAATTTTAGGGTCGTCTAAAGGCAAGAAACACTCAGAAAAACTGTCAAAAGTCATATTGCATGTATTGATTTTAAACCTTTTACTACTTGAGTATCAAGAACCGCTTCTGTTTCACATTTCAGAAATTTGTTGTAGCTTCAATGAGGCATTAGGTTTTGGTTTTCGGTTCCTAACAGCAAGATGAATCTATCAGGACTAAACTTCTGTGAGAATTTTGCAGTCCTCAAAGTTTTACCGACAGGTGCAGCACACAAAAAATTTGAATGTCCTGAAAGTGTTTATTTTCCCCATAATTCAGTTCAAAAAGTGAAAATGTCATATGTTCAAGACTAATCACATTAAGTAAAATACAGGGTTCCTACACAATTGGAATTTCCATACTCTTTTTAGAACTATTTTTAGAAATACCTCCTTTTCTATTTTAGAACACAGTATTTTCTTTTCACTGTGGTAATAGCCTGGAAACAAATATTTTTTATATTTTATATTGATCAAATTACTTTCATACTTTTCCATACGTTCCACACTTGTGTAAGAACCCTGAAAATATGTCAAGACTTTTTTTTGTAATTAAATCTTGATGATCATGGCTGACAGCTCACATGAATCAATGTGCACTATGAAGATGCTAGTCTTCCAAAAAGCAATATTACAAAGCTTTACAAATAATAAAAAAGCAAGTTAATCGCTATTGAAATGGGCGGTCTGATTAAGTCAATGCACCATAATTCATCATCAAGAAAACAACCAATGACAGACCTGCAATTAACCAAAATAAGACTTCTTGATTAGCATTTTTAGACCATGAAACAGCTGCGCTGAACAGTCAGCAAAGAGCACACACAACAACAAATGTATTTATGGATATAAAATGCCAGTTTTGTTGGGTGACAGTCAAGACCTCAGTCTTTAAGCTGGAAGTCCAGCAGCTAAAAAAAGAACCTTTCAATGGGCACTGGTGTTGCGGGCACAGAGAGGTATCGGCATGTGAGCTGGTGTTTTGGTTCACAAATTTCCCTGTTCACTGGTGACTTTCAGCTGATACGTTTGTGGTTCACAGTGTTACAACAGCTGTTCAAAACCAGATGAGTCCTCACAGATGTCTCTCAGTTCAGTTATACGTCAAAGACACATCCGATAAGGACATATTGACATTACAGTGAAAAGACACTGATTCCCTGTATTAACTATGATAACCACAGACTTTTTCATCTGAAAGTTAACAGGCTGAAAATCTAAACCCAGTCTTCTGTTGTAGTCTAAAGCTTGTGTTTTAATAAATGACTTCATCTTATAGAGGATTTTTACACAGGGTGTTTTTCTGCGGGTAAGAATGACATCACTCAGTTTGATACTTTGTGTGTGTGTGTGCGTGTGTGTGTGTGACTCACAGTAAGAAGGTACTCCACCGCTCTGTGGGGGTTGTTAAAACTGGCCCTTAGCGCAGCCACCACTCTCTCTCTTTCATAGCCCATACACATGATCTCCGTCAGCATGGCCTCATAATCGGCTCCCGTAACTGGAAATGAAACACACCCACATACACAGATGACAGGGTTACTGATATATCATTTGTTAAGGTATGCCTTAAATTATTCAACATAAACAAGGAGCCTTAAAGTGAACACAACAGTGCGCTACTGTCAATATCAAAAAAAGAAAATGATGCGAGTTTGGCAGAGCATACCAAGTGCTGAGGAGGCATCCAAGCCCTGACTCCCACCGCTGCAGCTTCAGAAACAAAAAGGAAATAAATCAGACAATCTCGGACAATCTAAGGATCTTAACTGTGATTGAAAAGACACAATGTTGTCGGCTAAACTGAGTCATGTTATACTTATACTATACTGCGGATTACTTTAAGTGGAAATGGTATCAAAGATATAAAAGAAAATTGTTGTTCCCCCTGAAACTAAACACTTTGTACACAAAAATTTCCTGTGATTCCTCACTATGCCAACTGATTCATAGTTTGAGCTATTTTTGACTTTGCTTTGACTTTCCCAGTTTGATAGATAAGGGTCGAAAAAGACTCAAGAGGCATTTTCTTCTCCTCTCACAATGAGGTCCTCTCATTCTGTTCACATTTATTATCAAAATTTAATAATGACATTAATTTTCCATCTGTTTCCAAAATGTAAATCATACCAAACTCATTTAAAAGAATTATACGATTTACAACAGACAGTCTTTACCCGGCTGGTTGCGGTTGTTCCGTAGCTGTGGCACTTGGCTCCTCTTTGGCCTCCTCGGGGGGAATGGGGACAGCTGCTGGAGTCGCGACTGGGGCTGGGGCAGGGGTTGGCGCGGGGTTTGTGGCTGGCGCGGCTGATGACGTGCAGCCGGAGTCCTGTACAGGGGGTTTGGGTGCTTCTGAGACTGGAGGCGAGGCGGAGGCCGCGGGCTTAGCCTTTGACAAAAGAAAAGGGTGCTGTTAGCAGGCAGGTGACCGAATAATAAAATGGCAAAATACGCTCAATAGTTATTTAGTTTAAGAACACAATGCTTGAAAAGGAGGAACTTTAAGATCTCACCTTGGACACCATCACTACAACAAAACTCTTCTCATCGATTTTGTAGTCCTTGATCTGTGTGTCATCTTGAAGAATTTTTCCAGCATATATCAGCTTCTGCCCCGATACAGGAAAGTTGTCTTTTCCTCTCTCTGCTTCAATCTTCTCTTTGAGAGCTTTCACCTGATGGAGAAGTGGGTTTTATATTTCATCAAAATCAACATGCCAACACTTCCCTTTGGTCTCCTGGACTTTTATTACTTATATTACTTCCTTTCCCTGCATTCATTCATGTCTTAAACCTCAGACTGGGTTTGTTGTTGTTCTTTGTGAGTAAGTGTACCAACATGAACTCATGACAGTGTCACTATAAAGCAGAAAAGCACCAGAACTGACTCACATTAGTATGAATGGCTGATGTTGTGATCAGACTAAGTATATTAGACGGCATGACAGTGACAATAATGGAGGAGAAAAACGACTCCTATTGGGTGATATTATCCGGGAACAATGTCAATATAGTTGAATCATATCGAATAACACTCTAGCAGGCGCCTGAAGCAGCCTTGGCAGCTCGCTAATGCAAATGTGAGCATGCTAACAAACTTAGCAGGCTTTTAGTACGGTACCAATGAGGCTAATGGTAATTGGCAGTGTCATGAGCATTAGCATTAGCAAACACAGCCTTTTGGACAGCTTGGGCTGGTTGAACCATTGCAAGTCGAATCCTATGAGATAATAGAGAAGCTTAGTTGCTAAAAGGACACAAAAACACTCTAGTAAACGATTAAAAGTCATTTTACAACGCGGCGCAGTGACTTTGGGAACGGGCTACTCAGCTAGCCATCCGGCTACCGTTTGCTATTCAGATTTGGCATTTAGCTTCCCTTCATAATATTAGTAGTCTCACTCGATAAGTTTAAACAACCTCAATGTTCATCTCATTGTAAATAACAAACAAAACTAGTGACTCTTCCTGTGAAGTTACCACAAATATCCCAGAGCTAATAGTGTTAGCTAAAGTTAGCAGGTAAGCTAATAGCCACTCACCGTTTTTTCGGGATCTATCTCAATCTGAATCGTCTGCTGCTGCAGAGTTTTAAGAGTGATCTGCATGATAGCGGCGGCTGACCCGGTGTCAGGTGTGCTTCAGGTGATGAAATAAGCGCTCTCTAAAGCGGTTAATTTGTTCGCAAAGTTTGCGTTTCTGTGAAGATAACAACTAGCCGAGAAATGTGTGTATCCATGAGCACTCAGCAAATCGCCATCTTTGGTGACAAGTTGGTGCTGCGGCGAGAAAAGCTCCGCTGGAAGGAACGAGATCTCGTCCTGGACCACGCGACTACAGCAACTTTTTCGAACAGGTAAAAGTATTTTTTTAATACTTTATTGTATACGGTGGCCGAGAACCGCCACTGCTTCAAAATAAAAAGAATGAAAAAAGGGGGGGGGGGAAGCCACAACAGAAGTTACAATGCCAAAAAAAAAGAAAGAAAAAAGAAAAGAAAACTGAAGCCCGCTGCAAATAAAAAAGAAACGGTGCAAATAAATAAATAAATAAAAAAAAGGCCACAACGGAAGTTAACAACCCAAAAAAAGTAACTTTCTGTGAGAATAAAAGGATGCAAAAAAAAAAAGCCACAATAGAAGTGAGTTGCCGGGGACCAACAATGATGATGCACCGGTGTTTTACGATCTAAGCACAGAAGACATCGGCGAAAAGACAAGCAAAGAAGTAAGAAGAAAGGTTTTTGTTTAATTTCACTTTAATTTCAACATCATACCGACTCAGGCGCTACATGGCCTAACCAAATTATACATTGAAAAGCACACAAAGCAAAATTAAACAAAAACCTTTTCGCTGACTTCTTTGCTCATCTTCTCGCTGTCCTCTTCTGTGTTTTTATTTTTAACGGAAATTAGGCATTCATGAACAAAAAAAATTCTTAAAAAAAATATAAAAACTGTAAACTTAGTTTCTTTCCCACCCATTCCTGGGGCATGTGAAGACTCCTTGGCACGATAACAGCTGCAGGAGAGAGAACCAAAATATGGCAGATTTTGAGTGAGCAAAAATGACCAGCTGACTAAAATATTTATTATCACCACATGAATTCCCTTAAATTCACTACTTTGTGATAGTTATTCATAACCACAGCGCTACATAGTAGAGTAGAGTGGTTCAAGTCATATTTGGCTGACAGAACAATGAGTGTTAGTCTTGGAGATTCGGTGTCCAGCTCTGCTCCACTGCTGTATGGGGTTCCAAAAGGGTAGATTTTAGGGCCCCTGCTCTTTTCTTTGTATTTGCTGCCCCTGGGTTCCATTCTCAACCATCTCAATTTTGGGTTTTGTAACAGTGATTTTAAATTTGAAAGGCAAATTAGCTCCGAAGTGAAATCTAGCTTTTATCATATTAGGCAGCTGGCGAAGGCAAAGCCATTCCTTGCACATAAGCACTTTGAAACAGTAATCCATGCCTTTGTTACATCTCGGCTGGATTACTGTAACGCACTTTACTTTGGAGTCAACCAGTCCTCCCTCTCATGTCTCCATTTGGAACAAAATGCAGCTCTTAACTGGAGTAAATAAGATGGAGCACATTACTCCCATCCTGGCTTCCCTCCATTGGTTACCTGTGCATTTTAGAGTTCATTTTAAGATTCTTTTATTTGTTTTTAAATCTTTAAATGGTCTGGCTCCATCTTACCTCTCTGAGCTTCTCCACCCCTACACCCCTGCTCGGTGCCTCAGGTCAGCTGATCAGGTGCTTCTGGAGGTACTGAGGTCCAAACTGAAACTCAGAGGGGATAGATCTTTTTCTGTTGCCCCAAAATTATGGCACGCGCTACCCCTCCAAATTAGACAAGCCCCTACACTGTCCGTTTTTAAAACTCGTCTGAAAACCCATTTTTATTCATTGGCTTTCAACCCTGCATGAGACAGAGTATTTACTCTGTTGTTTCCAAATTATCTTTTTCAGGCATCTGAGCTTAAAATCTCTTTGGAAAAGTAACCACAGTAGGTCATAAAGTTTCTTAAAAGTGGATGTTAAATTAGCATTAACAAACAAGTGAAAGTAATAACATGTTCTTATGAAAGAGGGTGTCTTATATGAAGACACTGAAAGAGACAGTCATTCAACCTGCATTGTCACCTCATACAAAACAAATATAAGATGTGACATGTTAGACTGAACCCAAAATATACAGCCCCAGGGAAATGATTAGATCCAGTCCCACATGTACTTTGTTTGAGAAGGCAGCAGGGGGCAGAGTTTGATCACTCTCAAACAGGCCTGTGAGTTTGCGCCACCAAGATCAGCTGAAGGAGAAGCAGAGTCGAGAGAATTAAAGAAAAACAAAAACATTGTCTTAATAAAGGAAAAAAATGTTGCTCGTTTGGTTTATTAAGGATGTTGTGTTGTATTTTTGTTGTTCAGGACACTGTGAAAAGATTGTCAGTGGGCATATTGTTCTATATTTTATAACTTAGAGAGGTGAATGAGTTCACTTTGAGTTTATGTAACTACTCCTGTAGAGGGTGATAGATGGAGAACAAATATAGTCTAAGGCCTTTCACATGTTGTAGATCATTTTTATGAATGATAATTGTGATATCTATTCCTATGTGGCAAAAGTCTAATTGTTCAACTGCACCATATTTCAAGAATTTTTCATATTTCAGATCATATCACTAATTGACATGCACACACACTTGCACATTAACACACTCATACAGCACATAGTCAGTGACCATAATTCAAACCTCCCAGCAGGCAGTGCAGCATAAATATTTCAGCAAATCACACCCTGATTCATCGCTTGGTGCCAAGTTTTATGGGGTCTCTTTGTCTTTCCTTCCACGGTTGATCCTCCTCTTTTTCCTCTCATTTCTATTTCCATTCCTCACTTTTTCACCCCGCATTTTCTTTTCACACGACCTCATTTTGATCTTGTGACCTGATACCATCTTCTTTCTAAATGTTCATCCGTTTCTGTAACCAGGTGTGAAATATGGAGAGAGTGTGGGGCTGAGGAGGCGGAGAATAGGTTGAAAGACAAGAAAAGAAAGAAGTAAAGAAAAAGACAAGAGAGGAGGGGATGCTTTTAGGCTGTAGAAAGTGAAAGGATTGAGGGGAAGAAGAATAGGAGACAGGGAATCGGTGTGTGTTGTGTGTGTGTGTTGTGATGGGATGGTGCCCTAAATGTGTGTTCATCTGGGTTAATTCTCCAGGACAGAACTATTAAAGATTAACAACGAAGCGCCATGTTTTATTGAGGCAGGCTGCATTTGTGGGCATATGGCACCAAACATAGCCCTCCTCCAAATGTGTGTGTGAGTGTTGTTTTGTCTGAAGGCTTTTATTTTGTCGAGACAAAAAAATAAGCCCTCTCTTTTGTAAGGCTGACAGAACTGGGACTACCTAAGCCCGTCTTTACACAGCAGTGCTTACAGACCTGATGTACGCTAAACCTTATGATCAGTATGTTGCTTTATCTCTCAGGGGATGTGGACCACCCATTCTGAGTCACTGAGTCACATACAGATATAAACCCTTATTGGTATGTTTATTTACCTGTTATACGGTGGCCTAGAACTGCCACTGCTGCATATAAAAAAGAATGCAAAAAAAAGAAACCAAAGCCCGCTTCAAATTAAAAAAAAAATGGTGCAGATGAAAAAAAAAAGCCACAACAGAAGTTAAGAATGCAAGAAAAAGTGGCGATGCAAAAAAATAGAATAAAGTAAAAGAAAATTTTGGTCCCCGGCAGCTCACTTAAAATTTTTTTTGCATCCTTTTATTTTTGCTGTAAGTAACATTTTTTGGGCATCGCCACTTTTTTTTTTGCATCAGTAACTTCTGTTGTGACTTTTTTTTTTATGCATTCTATTTTTTTGCAGCAGTGGCTGTTCTCGGCCACCGTAATATTACATCTAATCAACACACTTTATTATCACATCATGTTGATTCTGTCGCTGTGCATGTACTTATTCATTTAGAAATGCTTTGACACATACTGTACAGACATGGCAGGGCCCCTAAAAGGTCCAGTGAATGCAAGTGCAGCTGACAATTAATCTTACATCCAATCTGAAATTTGCTATAAAAGCCAATCAGTTGTTACATCTCTGATGCATCCAACCTGTATTCACCAAAAAGGTATTTTAAAAGGACTTTCTTCAGGCCCTACATCTGTCCATATTCAGACGTGTGAAATAAGAAGGAAATCATGGCTGTAAGTCATTAACTTGGCTACTGAATAGTGGGTTCACAGAGCATAGATTGTCTACTGCATAGTTGTCAGGTGATAATAGGCGTTGATGGATGTAACAAATCTGTTCCACTACAAAAGCAAAAGCAGTCCTAAATTCAGACATGATGATAAAATAGAGTATTGTTGTTTTAAAAGTAATTTTGGGTTACAGGATGAGGCTGGCAGAGGAACTTCCAACTGTGCCTGTCCTCCTCCTCCTCTTCTTCTCTCCTACAGAGAAAACTCTTCTGTTCTTCTGCAGGAACACCCCCACAGCACTCTATCATCTGCATAGATCCGTAACACTACACCCTGTGTGTGTACGTGCGTGTATGTATATGTGATGGTGCTGTCACCAGTGCAACGAGTGAGTCATGTATGCAACCCACAGGGAGTCCTGTCAGTTTGAAACTTTTGAGACTTACAGAGCCAACAATCTTCACACACTGAGAAAAACACACACCCACTGTTTATGTTGTTTTACATTGTTGTAATTACACTCTAGTCAATGTTGTATCAGATTGTTCTGTGGGAGCTTTTATTTGTGATCTTCATTCTTGTTTACATTGAAAACTACAAATCAATTAATCCCATTATTATGTTTTTTACTTTAAATAGCTTGAGTTGTTAAAAATGAAATGCTCATTCAGTTACTTTATCTTCATAGCATCTGTTCTCCTTTTCCTCAACTTTCAAGTCAATCTAAAATGCATATATACTAAGTTGTCCATGATTTTCATATATTTTAGCTCAGGGCTTTGGACACTACACGCATCAGTGTTATGAAATAAACATCACTGTGCACTTGTTGATTGATCCTTTGTTGTTGTTTGCATACGCATTCTAATATAACTTATTTTTTCTCACATTTTAAGTCAATTAAATAACATCAATATTTGAATTGGACTTTGGACTTAAAGCTGAGGGGGGAAAACTATTTAAAAGACTATTACTATAGACTTCGGCACTTGATAACAAACCTATTTATTTACGCAGTCTTGTGTGTGTGTGAAGACCTGTAGACACACTTAGTATACGAATTGGTTGAGTTAACCCCTTGTTACAATTTTGGAGGGATGCTTATTCAACCATTTAAGTTCAGTTAAGTAATATTCAAGGGGAAAAAAAATGTCTAAGTATAAATCAGGCTTTGCGGATGTTTCTATACTTTTAGAATTTACTGAAAGCCGAAGAAGCCGACCACAACATGTGTCAGCAATAGCTAATCAATAAACTGTGCACGTGGAGCATCAGTTAAGCTCAGCGATAAATGTGCACACCCCATCCTTCATCCAAGGGGTGTTACCATAAATTCTGGGCTCGACCACCTCAACTCAAGCCAGCCCCACATTAATGCTATTACTACACCTTCATCGCCCAAAAGACCAATTAAACGACCCCCCTACAACTGTGTTTGTGGTCACTGAGAGCCACAGCCCTTTGCCGTCCACATGTCTCTGCAGCTGTCTTATCTAACACGGGCAAAAGTAAGGGGATAAGACACCCCCAGTAGCATTTGTCAGCGCCTTGAATTGTCACTCAAAGGCAGAGAAAGAAATCCTCCAGTCTGCTGATGGTAATACAGAATTGTAAGTTCTTGCAGTTACATGGTAGTTCCAGATTTTTTCATCTGGTACCAATGCTGCTGACACCAAAGAGTATTGTGTGTAGAAAGTCAATATTGATGTACTGTCTTTTTATGGACGACAATGCTTACACTCCACATATCTATCTGAAGTGTGTTTTTGACCAACAATGGAGGTCTAAGACATTACTAACACAAGGCAGCTGCTAAAATTAGGGAAGATTTATAACTCTCCAGGTTTGGTTCCACTGTTCTGACAAGGAAACACTTCTGTATTGTTTCCATTGCTGTATATGGAGACAGGATCAAGGATCTGGTTCATTAAAGACTTATGAACTGAGCCATGTAACCTCTTCTTTGGGGTGCTAATTCTAGCCTCATCTCTTTGCCTTACAAGGACAAGTCCAACTTTGACTGGTAGCTGACTGCAGTCCTCATCTATCTCTGCCATTTTTGTCCGTCCACACTGCTCTGTCTGGCTCTCTCTCTATTTGCTGCAGTTCCTCCTCATCCTCTTCCTGTTTGATGTCTCCAGTATATGAATTAAAAAAAATATGGCTCCTAAATGTCTCTTTCCTCTCCCCCTCCTCTTCCTCTTTAGCCTCCTCGCGTCAGGAGATGTGGGTCACTCTGGGGGCAAACTTCATTTCCGTAAATGAGGACAGAAAAAGAAATCCTGGCCCACTAGTTAGTTAACAGCACACTGCCCCTCTGTCACCCCAACACGCACACACACAAAGAGCAACCCGAGACCTGTTTGTAGAGCTAATTAGCATTGGCTCTCTCCGTGTGCGAACATGTGGCCGAGCAACTGTGTGTGTGTGTGTGTGCACAGCTGGGATGGTGTTGTGCTCTTTGGCCCAGTTTTGCCTGAATAAGGCAGAATACAGTCGGCAGG